GAGGAGGCTTGACTCCATGGAGTCCTTTGTTCGACATTTAAGGATTTGTCAATCTATTGACACGGCTAAGTTTAAGGCATGACTCTGATACCATGTTAGACGAACACGACTCTCCACAATGGTATGATATTGTCCACTTTGAGCATAAGCTCTCATAGCTTTGCTTTGGGCTTCCCAAAAGGCCTCATAACAATGGAGTTAGTATTCCTCACTTATAAACCCATGATCATTCCTTAAATTAGTCGATGTGGGACTTTCATCATCCAACACAACCCATCTTTATCCCAATCTTATCCTTTCAAAATCCTCTCTCTTCATCTCATTTGTCAATACCTTTTTAGTCATTTTTCAAGCATATCTCGGACCAATTAGAAATTGATAAAATATTGTCTCATAAAATAAAACATGTCTAGACTTTGTTTGGACATACCGAGACCACCACTTGCATGCACTAAGGCACTTGTTGACCATACTCAGGTTCAATCAAATAGTTTGCTTGATCAACTAATAATCAAGCTGGCTCGCCTTTTATTGGCTCAAATTAAATATTAATTTATGTTTTAAAGTGTCAGGGGTCGAGAACGATATTTTTGTGAGATTGTGTAACATACCACACCGCTAAACTTTCCCTTCAAAGCTTCCCCTAAAGATTTTAAAATGGTCTGTTAAAGAGAGATTTTCACATCATTCACAACTTCACTCAAGGTTCATGCTGGCCAGAAGCCCTGCTAGGACTATAAAGATAGCTTAGGTTCACATCTATAGTTCTTTTTTTTTTAAATAAACATTATATTAAAAAATAGAAAATATTTATTACAAAATTATTTGATATATATATATATATATATTTATTTATTTATTGTCGTGATTATTTCATTAAAGACACACTGATCTCATTGCTTAATTGTTGAGCAAAACACTAAATTGGAAAAATTTTGTTTTTTTATAAACCAACTAAATTCTGATTTAAAAAAATAAATAAATTCATCATCGCTTTTAATTAATATAGATCGATGATTGGTCTACTGTTACAAGTAATTTGAAATCTAACTCGTTTATCATCATTTCATAGCGAATGAACGTAATAGATGATAATAATTGTTCACCAAATTATGGTGATAGTGACGAGAGACGTCGATCAAATATTCTCAAAAAATTCAGATTAAAAGAAAAATGTTAAGCAAAAAGCAACCTCTAAAAGTCTAATTAATTGTTGCTCTAACTTAAAGACACATCATATCTAAACAACATCCCAATAAATTGAATCATAAAAAAACGAACCACCACCAAATTGGTGTAAAAACGATACTCGTTTTAAAGAAAAAAACCGACAGATCTTTTATTAAATAAATGTAAACAAGTCATTATTAACAAATATTCTCTGATTTAGTCCGTTATATATCATGGTTAGTCTTACAGTCAACTGCTAGCAAATATTATCTACTTTGAGACATTACCATTACTCTGATTTAAGACATTACCATTAGTCTCACAAATGGGACCTCACAATCCACCTTCCTTGGGGGCCGAACGTGCTTGCTTGCACACTGTTTGTTGTCTGTCTCTAGTACCATTTGTAACAACTAAAGCCTACTGCTAGTTGATATTATCTAAAACAGGTCGGGGAGAGAAATCCATACATTTATAAAGAATGTTTCGTTACTCCCTCCAACAGCCCATGTGGGATCTTACAAGAAACGACTTTGTATTCGATTTGTATGATACGCTACCTATGAACGATTTAGTTCCTCGACCCGAACCTTGTATTCTTTCATTGGAAGGTCTTCAACTCCAACAATTAATGGTCCCACAAAAAGTTTAGTAAAGGAAAAAAGACATATGGTATCGTATTCTTATTCTCCTAAAGTCAAAATTATTAAACCCATAAAATTTTCTCTTTTAATTTATTGCGAAAAAATCAATTGCCTTAATTAAAAATGATTCTCTTACTGTAAATAAATTGTGATTAAGCGACCACAAATATGGTTAAAAGTTAAATGACTCTTAATTAAATATTTATAATTATTTTTATTTAATTTTATTGAAAATAATTTTAATTGATATCGTTATTAATTTTAAATTTAAATTAATCCCAAAATTTAAGGATATAAATTACTTTTTTCCTTTAAAAAAAAATTGCTTAAATTCTAAGATCCAATGCCCAAAATGGGTCCACCCCTAAACAGAAAATTAATTTTTTTTTGTAAAATAAATAAATAAAATTTTGTAAAACAGAGTATATAAATTAACAAAGAAAGTTACTGTCTTTTTAACTCTATCCATCAAAATTTCTTTTGAGCGGAGAGAAATTTGAGAGAGGATAACCGACGGAAAATGGGTTTTGCGGCGGAGAGAGTGGCGGCGCTGATGGCGGCGGTGTTTGTTGTCATAACGATGGGACCAGAGCTAGCAGCTGCGACGGTTTATAAGGTCGGAGACGCTGCTGGATGGACTATCATCGGCGGTGTTGACTACAAGCAGTGGGCTGCTACCAAGACTTTCCAGGTCGGCGACGCTGTCGGTAAGTTTCCGATGAAGATTATACTTTTTTAATTGTAGTTAATAAGAAGTTTGAATATTTGGAAAAAAAATTTTTTTTTTTTTTTTTTTTTTTTTCAGTATTTGAGTACAACCCCCAATTTCACAACGTGATGAGAGTGACGCATGCTATGTACAAATCCTGCAATGTCTCGGCGCCTCTGGAGACCCACACGTCCGGCAACGACACCATCGCTATTACAACCAGAGGCCATCATTTTTTCGTCTGCGGCTTTCCCGGCCACTGCCAGGCCGGCCAGAAGGTTGACATCAATGTGCAGCGCCATACTTCCGCCGCTGTAGTTCCGTCGCCCTCTGTCCCGCTTGTAATACCTACCCCTGCACCGGCACCTAGCGGTGCTGCCAGTCGTCTCGGCGGTGGCCTTGCGCTCTTGGCTTTGCTGTTCTCTGTTGTAGCTTAAGATTGAGACCCTTCTTGGCCTTGCGCTCTTTTTGTTCTATGCTTTTTTTTTTTTTTTTTTTTTTAATTTTGAACATTTTGTAATTTGGAAATGACGAAAATGGTCTTAGCATCCCAACTAGTTTAGGGTTAATTAGATTGAAAGATATTAATTTTAAAGGCTATTTTTGTCATTTTTTTACTCATAGTCTTTCACTCTTAGGAGCAGACCCAATCGTTCCTGACCTTATTTATTTATCTACCACGGATAATTTCACCCAGAGCTTCCCAAAAATTTGGCCACATCCGTCCCCGTCCCCGTCTTCGTCTTCGTCTTCTAACACATCTGATATCTTTCCTATAAAGTTCAGTGTGCAGTATTCCAAGAGCTTACCTCAGCCATTTTTCTATCTTTACGTTCTATGATACAATACAATGTTGCAGGTACATAATGGGAAGATTAAAGTAATAGCAGAGCTGCTTTATGATTCTTATCAGTTGTCTGTGTTGTTCACCAGAAGTCCTTTGAGAAGTGGCCTCTCCACGTCCCTATGGGTATGTATTCTTCGATCTGGACGATGAGCTCTGCCATTGTTACAATGTTAACATTAACTAGTTAGGATTGATGAAATTTATATTTGCTACGATTTCTATATATAACTACGTTTGACACGCTAAACAAACACGTTTTGCCAGCGACTATAGTTTCTTAAGCATGTTTCATCACATTCTAGGAAGTATTGTGAAATAATAGTGTAACAACCTAAGTCCACCACCAGTAGATATTGTCCTTTTTAGGTTCTCTTTCGAGCTTCCTCTCAAGGTTTTTTAAACTCGTCTGCTATGGAGAGATTTCCACACCCTTATAAAGGATGTTTCATTCTCCTCCCCAACCTACGTGGGATCTCACAATTCACCCCTTTGGGGCCCAACGTCCTCGCTAGCACACTGCCTGGTGTCCACCCTCACCAACCAATGTGGGATCTCATAATTCACCTCTTTCGGGACCCAACTCCTCGTTGGCACTCGTTCCTCTCTTCAATCAATGTGGAATCTCACAATCCACCCTCCTTCGTGGCTAGTGTCCTTGCTGGTACACCGTCCGGTGTTTGACTTATAAAAAATGTTTTGTTTTCCTCCCCAACCGATGTGGGACCTCACAATCCACTTCCTTCGGGACCCAGCGTTCTTGCTAGCACTCGTTCCTATCTCCAATTAGTGTGGGATCTTACAATCCACCCTCCTTCGCGGCTATCAGTCTCGCTGGCACACCGCATAGTGTTTGGTTCAAATACCATTTGTAATAGTTCAAGTCTACCACTGACAAATATTATCTTCTTTAGGATTTTTCTTTCGGGTCTCCCCTCAAGATTTTTAAAATGCGTCTGTTACAGAGAGCTTCCACACCCTTATAAAGAATGTTTCGTTCTCCTCCCAGACCGATGTGGAATCTCACAATCCACCCCATTCGGGGCCCAACGTTCCTCCCTGGCATACCGCTCGGTGTCTGGCTATGATATCATTTGTAACAGCCCAAGCCCACTACTAGAAAATAATGTCCTCTTTGGGCTTTCTTTTTCTGGATTCCTCTCAGACGCATCTATTAGGGAGAGGTTTCCATACCCTTATAAGGAATGTTTTGTTCTCCTCCCCAACCAATATGAGGTCTCACAATCCACCTCCCTTCAGTGCCCAGTGTCCTCATTGGCACTCGTTCCTCTCTCCAATCAACGTGGGATCTCACAAATAGACATATAGGTCAAAGTAGATGTGTTCTTTTACGAGTTTTATTTCAACCCAATATCTGTTTAGGGCAAAGATGGAAACTAGAACCTTTTGGGATACCTATGTCACAGATTTCTCAATGACCAAAGTATTCCTGTTGTAAATATTTGTTTTGGTAGGCAAGTAAAGCATCATAGAGAGTCAGAGACCTTACACTCGTCGGATTGTAGCTCCGCCGCATCCGAATCTTCGCTATCCTGCATAGAGGTGATCGTATCTTGTTAACATACAACCTCGTGCATTTGAAATATTAAAATGTGGTAAGGTTGACATACTACCTCTATCAACTAATCCTTTCGAGTTATCAAACCAACCACATTCGATGGACGGGGGACAACAAACACGTGTCTCAAACCTAGTTGTCGGAAAAGATTATACACCTAGGCCATTGGAAGATGCAACATTTTGAGTGAATAACAAAACTAGATGAAACTATGAAGCAAATAAATTTATTAACAAGTCTTCTGAACTAAGATGAATATCATCAATAGAAATGCCTTTACTGGAAGCAGGCTTCACAAATTCACTGAAATTGTGCCTGAAGTTCAAAGGATATTTAAGAACTTAATGAAAAAAGTGAGGATACCCATCATTTGATCTTGAATCAAGTTTCTATTCACCTGCTTTGTATGGATCCTCTTGGATCTGAAGGCAAAGAACTATGCTAAAAATCTACTTTAGACTGCAGAAGTCCTAACAAGTAGCTGCATCAACAAAGATATCGTTAGGATTTATGGTATGCTTGAATCATATTGTAACAGCCCGAGTCCACCGCTAGCAAACATTATCCTCTTTGAGCTTTCCTTTTCGGGCTAGGGAGAGATTTTCACACCCTTATAATGAAGCACCCTTATAAAGAATGTTTTGTTCTCCTCCCCAACCGATATGGAATCTCACAATCCATTCCCCTTTGGGGCCCAACGTCTTTACTGACACACCACCTCGTGTCCACCCCCTTTGGGATTCAGCCTCCTCGCTGACACATCGCTCAATGTCTAGCTCTGATACCATTTGTAACGGCTCAAGCCCATCGCTAGCAGATATTGTCCTTTTTGGGTTTTCCCATTAGGACTTCCTCAAGGTATTTAAAACGAGTCTGATAGTGAGAGGTTTCCACACACTTATAAAGAGCGCTTCGTTCCCTTCTCCAACTGATGTGGGATCTCACAATCCACCTCCATTTGAGATCCAACGTCCTCACTAGCACTCGTTTCTCTCTCCAATTGATATGAGATCTCACACATATATCATCTAGCCCACCCCCAAAAGAAAGGTGGCTTGTCCTTCACACTATACCTTCTAAGCATCAGTCCAATGACACGTGTTTCTCCATTTCTAGAGTACTCAATCACCTCAGGGGCAAAGAAGCACAACCTTAAGAAAAGGCGAATATACGAGGAGAAAAAAAAGAATTTAGCTATGCTCACAGGAAAGCCATTATGTCGGTTGCTCCGTAAAATACTAACAATATCAGCAACCTTAACAACACGGGGGAAGGAGACAACCTTCGAATAGAGAACACAACGTGTCGGTGAGGAAGAATAGTTAATGAAACATCATTGCTTGGATAATACGTGGTACTAAATTATACAGTGATAAGAGTTTCAAGAATAAGTGAAGGTCACCCTTTTTCCACAGGCCCCTTTTGCTGTAATTTTCCGCATCTGGTACTTTGGTCTTGATTCCAGTAATGGAATACCCTTCAATTGAGCCTGCTCTTCATATAGGCCTTCATTGAAGACATCGCCAACAGCCTGAAGTGTTCATATGAATAAGCTGTTAGGATCGCACAACAACATACACTCGATTTAGATGAACACAAACAACAGGAGAGAGAAAATACAAGGAGGAATATTAGTTAGAGGCTTATTGTGATATCCCACATTGGTTGAGGAGGAGACCGAAGCACCCTTTATAAGGGTATGGAAACCTTTCCCTAGTAGATGCGTTTTAAAGTCTTGAGGGGAAGCTTGAAAGGGAAAGCCCAAAGAAGACAATATCTGATAGCAATGGGCTTAGGCCGTTACAAATGGTATCAGAGCTAGACACTGGGACTATGTGCCAGTGAGGAGGTTGTCCCCCGAAGGGGGAGACACGAGGCGGTGTGCCAGCAAGGACGCTAGGCCCCGAAGGAGGGTGAATTTGGTAGGGTCCCACATCGATTGGAGTAGGGAACGAGTGCCAGCGAGGACGCTGGGCCCTGAAGGGGGGTGGATTGTGATATCTCACATTGGAGGAAAACGAAGCACCCTTTATAAGGGTGTTGGAACCTTTCTCTAGTAAACACGTTTTAAAGTCTTGAGGGAAATCCCGAAAGGGAAAGCCCAAAAGAGGACAATATCTGTTAGCAGTGGGCTTGGGCCGTTAACACTTATATTGATACAGAGAATGCAGAGTACATTTTCAAAGCACTGCCTAAGGGTATATATAGTAAGCTATAAATAAGCAGCAGACTCCATAACCCAACCTAAGCAACTTTCACGTGCATTGATGAATAGGAGAATACCTTGAAATGAGAAGGACAAGCATGATGAGAGGTAAAAATTTCAAATTATTTGAAATTTCAACCACGATGACACACAGAGACACTGTCATTCGCATAGAACCACCTAGAAAAGATTCAGCACCCAACAAAGCATATCTACAAAACCAGTAAGATTTGGAAGAACGAGCACGATTAAGTACAGTTGCTAACGATTACTTTTGGTTCGTGTTACCCTAAACTAAGAATATATAGACTCACGTTCCCTCTTCAATGTTGGGTTTCCTGTAGAAACTAACCACAAACTTGCCAACCAAACGTCCATATGTAGAACCAATCATTATACCAGGAACAAACTGACCGGCAGGAACCGCAGTACCAAACGTCACGACTGCTAAGGTATAAAACATAACCTGAAAAATAAGCAGAGTGGACAGATCATCATAAAACATCATATAATTAAGTTCTTCAAAAGGTAGCAGCACCAATTAGCGATCCTATCTTTATCGGTTATAAAAAGAAAGGAGGTTTATGTAACGGCCCAAGCCCACATCCAACATTGGTTAGGGAGGAGAATAGAACATTCTTTATAAGGGTGTGGAAACCTCTCCCTAGCAAACGCATTTTAAAAACCTTGAGGGAAAGTCCGAAAGGGAAAACCCTAAAAGGACAATATCTGCTAGCGGTGGGCTTGAGCCGTTACAAGTGGTATTAGAGCTAGACATCGAGCGATGTGCCAGCGAGGAGGCTAAGCTCCAAAGGGGGTGGACATGAAGCGGTGTGCCAACAAGGACACTGGGCTCTGAAGGGGGTGGATTGTGAAATCTCACATCGGGTGAGGAGGAGAATGAAGCATTCTTTATAAGAGTGTAGAAACCTCTCCCTAGCAGATGCGTTTTAAAAATTTTGAGGGGAAGCCCAAAAGGGGAAACCTAGAGAGGACAATATTTACTAGCGGTGAGCTTGGGCCGTTATTTAATAAGAAATATTTTAAATCCAAAATGAATATTTGTGAACAATGTGGATACCATTTGAAAATGAGTAGTTCAGATAGAATCGAACTTTTGATTGATCCAGGTACTTGGGACCCTATGGATGAAGACATGGTCTCTTTGGATCCCATTGAATTTCATTCGGAGGAGGAACCTTATAAAGATCGTATTGATTCTTATCAAATAAAGACAGGATTAACTGAGGCTATTCAAACAGGCACAGGTAAATTAAACGGTATTCCCATAGCAATTGGGATTATGGATTTTCAGTTTATGGGGGGTAGTATGGGATCTGTAGTAGGCGAGAAAATCACCCGTTTGATCGAGTATGCTACAAATCAATTTTTAAATGGTATCAGAGCCAGACACCGGGCGATGTGTTAGTGAGGAGGCTGAACCACGAAGAGGGGTGGACACGGAGCGGTGTGCCAGCAAGAACGTTGGGCACCGAAGGGGGGTGGATTGCGAGATCCTACATCGGTTGAGGAGAAGAACGAAGCATTCATTATAAGGGTGTGGAAACCTCTCCCTAGCAGATGCGTGTTAAAAGCCTTGAGGGAAAACTCGAAAGGAAAAGTTCAAAGAAGACAATATCTACTAGTGATGGACTTGGGCTGTTACAGTTTTCCGTTACGAGAATGAAAATATGAGACAGGACAATAAATGAGCATGTCAACAAAGAAGAAAACTACGCCTTAAACTACGTGAATAACTCTGCGCACTGAACTCATGCATTGTTTTTGCACTGAACAAATTCCTTACGGCATCATCCTGTAAAAATAAATTTACAGCTAAAACAAGATGGTAAAATAAAATTTGAAGACAGAAAAAAAAGAAAAACCTGAGTGTTGAAGAAGATGGTCGCAAGATCATTGTATTCATTGTCCTTACTGCAATAAAACTGAAAAAAGAACAGTAATAAACAGCCAAATTTTCATGCTAAAAGAACAAAAGATAACCAATACTGATTCTTACGTTAACATAATTCCCATACATCCCAGGAGGCCTTGGGCATTCATTACCCAGTTCAGGATCAGGTTTGGGGCATGGAGTGCATTGCCTTAGAAGTGGTAGTCCGAACGAGATAATAGACGTTAATACTGATATGAGACCAACCTCAATGATCTGAAAATTTTCGAGAAAAAAGTGGTTTGAATCTGAAATTGATGTAAAAGAGGAATCATTAAACGTTTGCGTACCTTGACTCCGTTCCCGTTCTTGTGCAAATGGTTTCGACGCCAGTAAGTCATGTAAAGAGTAAGCTGGTTGAATAGTGCTCCTAGTAGAATAGTGAACATAAAAACTAGTTGCCAACTAAAAAGATATGGCTAAAAATACTAACCCAATAAGCCTCCAATGACCCCAATCACAGCCATGGGCAACAGCTCACCAAAATAGTAGTCCTCTTGGCCACTAAAAAGTTAGCCATCAGCAAAGATGAATTTGAAGGAGAAATAGGCAGGGAAGGGATGAATGGATTATGAACCTTACTCTGATATGTCCCATATTATGAAACCACCTGAACCAAAATGTCCACACTTTCCACTCTTACACCATCCCATAGCTGGACGCACCACCACAGCCACCACAGCAGAAGTAAAGAACACACGCCACAAAAGTTGACTCTTCCACCTTCGTTGTCGTATACAAAATTCAAATATGTAAATTTCTCAAGTCAATAATGTTAATACTCATCATACCCTAAGGGCTCTACGTACTCGAAAGTACAACCAATAATATGCGAAGATATAAAAGCAAGTTCGATTGTTTTTCTTTTTCACTTGATCCCTCGAGCTAACAAGTTCGATTGCTTTGACTCTGACACTGTAATAGCCCAACCTACCACTAGCAGATATTGTTCTTTTTTGGCTTTCCCTTTCGGACTTCCCCTCGAGATTTTTAAAACGCGTCTGCTAGGGAGAGGCTTCCACACCCTTATAAAGAATGTTTCGTTCTCCTCTCCAACCGATGTAGGACCCCCCAATCTACTCCCTTTTGGGGCCCAGCGTCCTTGCTGGCACACCCTCTCGCGTCCACCCCCTGTCAGGGCTTAGCCTCCTCGCTGACACATCGCCCAGTGTCTGGTTCTGATACCGCTTGTAATAGCTCAAGCCCACCGCTAGAAAATATTGTCCTCTTTGGGCTTTCCTTTTCGGGCTTCCCCTTAAAGTTTTAAAACGCATCTGCTAGGGAGAGGTTTCCACACCCTTATAAAAAATGCTTCGTTCTCCTCCTCCCTAACCGATGTGTGATCTCACAATCCACCCCCTTCGAGGCCTAGTGTCCTCGCTGGCATTTGTTCCCTTCTCCAAGCGATGTGGGACCCCCCCCAATCTAGCCTCTTTGGAACCCAACGTCCTTGCTAGCACACTGCCTTATGTCCACCCCCTTTAGGGCTTAGCCTCCTTGCCGGTACATCGCCCGGTGTCTGGATCTGATACCATTTGTAACAGCCCAAGCCCACCGCTAGCAGATATCGTCCTCTTTGGGCTTTCCTTTTTATGCTTCCACTCAAGGTTTTTAAAACGCCACACTCTTATAAAGAATGTTTCGTTATCCTCCCCAACCGATGTGGGATCTCACAAACCCAAACTATAAGGATGAAAAGATTACTTTCCTCATAAATTAACAAATAGCAGAAAAACACAGTATCACCACAAAAGTCAGCCTCCAAGCATGTTGTGAGGAAGAAATGAGTTTTACCAAGATGTTACTTCTTCTAGTGCAAATAAAACACCACCAACCGGAGCTCTAAAAGTTGCAGCAACTCCAGCTGCACACCCACAGGTCACCTTTCAAAATGTGAACCAAAAAGTAGGAGAACAATTAGGCAATATGTGTATTAAACCATGCAGAAAGTAATGTTAAATCATGGCCTGTTTTGGACAGGACGGTTCACTTAAAATGCTAAAATCAACTTACAAGATCACGATGAACCCGGTCACTCCTGAACACTTGTAACCACCTGGAATTGAGATGATATTTACCAGATCCACCCTGATTTGGAAAGGACATGTGTGAGTTTCATTGATCAAACAAAGCAGGAATTTATATATATTCAGGACACCCTGATGATATTGGAGCTTTCAGATAAGAAAACCGACGGTATGCGAGCGTTGAACATCACGATATCGAACAATGACTCGATTTCAAATGGATACCAAACAGCTAATGCATCAAAGTTCGAGACAAGTATGGAATAGCAATAAGACTATGAACAAGAGGCCAAGAGGCCCTTCCTTGCCTAAAGCCAATCCACCTCCCACAGAGCCAATGCTTCCAAATATCTATCATATCCCAAGATTATGAAAAGAAAACAAAATGACAAAACTTGAAAAGCATATCTACAAATTGTACCTTTCCAATTAGGGTTCTGAAGAAAAGGACACCATGAATGTCAATTCCTGTTCATTTAAACAAAAGAAATGCTTTCAAACGCCCACCAATATTGTAACAGCCCAGACCCAATGCTAGTAGATATTGTCCTCTTTAGGCTTTCCCTTTCGGGCTTCCCCTCAAGGTTTTTAAAACGCGTCTGCTAGGGGGAGATTTCCACATCCTTATAAAGAATGGTAGCACTTTTTGTGAGATCCCACATCGGTTGGGGGAAAATGAAACATTCTTTATGAGAGTGTCGGTGAGAACGTTGGGCTTCGAAAGGGGGTAGATTGTGAGATCCCACATCAGTTGAAGAGGAGAATGAAACATTCTTTACAAAGGTATGGAAACCTCTCCGGACATTTTAAAAACCTTGATTGGACAACATGGTCGATCAATTCTGCTCCGATTCCAGGGCAGCTGAAATGAACCCAAGTTTTGACGACGATCAAACCCAGAAACTCAAAGTTAGGTGGGGGTTGGAAATGAAGTGAGGAGAGAATCTGTGACAACCGCGAATCAAGATACTAATAAACGGGATTGAAGTTGGAGGAGTTGGAGACTTTGATACTAATAATCAACTGCTAAGTAAGAAGAACTTGGAGACTTTTATATTGACTCGGATAATGCACAACGTACCATCAATAAAGGATTCCATTTTTCTTTATATATATATATATATATATATATATATATATGTATATAAATTAAAGTGGTAAGATTCATCCTTTAACTCTATGAATTACCATAACTTTTCTTACATATAGTTTTAAGTGTCAAATTAAACATATAATTTTTTTAAAGTAATAATTTGCTGGCAAATATTGTCGAGCTAAAGAAACATTTTTCCTCTCGAACTAAGGTGAAATTTTACAATATATATATATATTTTTTTTTGTAAGATTATAAATTAAAAAAATAAATTTGAAGTCCAATAACTAAAAGAAGAACTAACGTAAAATTAAAGAATAATGTTCTCCACATTAAAGAGAAAAATATGGAAAAAATTCAGATAAATTCATTAAAGTCCCGCTGCAACTTTCTTTTGGAAAAAAAAGTAACCAATTATAAAAGGAACAAGTTGTGTCTAAATGCAACACATTATCTTAGTACTGAGATCAACGACGTTTTTCTTTTGTATAACTTCGGACAGAATAACGAACTCTTCAAATTTTGATGCTTATTTACACTCATTTTCAAGAGACTTAGAAGAGGATTAGGCATGCAGGTAAAAACTCAAGCAATTGGTCTCGAAAAAGACCACCAATGCCAGTGTGCCAGCAAGTAATGCTCGCTCCAATTACACCCTCCGTAGAACTCAAACAAAGATGGGAAGAAAAAGGTAAGGAGTGATGACTCATGTCTAGATGTTCGGGATACCTTGAGAAGTCTACTAGTGTGTCGCTCCAACTACACCCTCCCGATCACTCAAACAAAGATGGGAAGAAAATGGTGAGGAGTGATGACCATGTCTAGATGTTCAGATACCTTGAGAAGTCTATCAGTGTGTTGCTCCAACTACACCATCCCGATCATATAACTCAAACAAAGATGGGAAGTAAAACTCAAACAAAGATGGGAAGAAAAGGGTAAGGAGTGATGACCCATGTCTAGATGTTCGGATACCTCATTGCATTCATATTTTCACCTTGAATTAAACAAAAGAAATCATTACACAACGGGCTTTCGATGGCATCGCCCAACTGCAGTCGGATAGTTAGTTACCATAACCAGACCGATTAATCTTGCACTCTACCAAAAGACTCCATAGGACTTTTCAAAGGCCGTGGTCTGGGCTATGTATGGACTTTTAGTATATTTTGTTGCCCAATTTCTCTATTTTGTATGGGTTTTGGTACATTTTGGCCCAATTCGCTGGAATAAATCACCTTTTGTTCCATCATCTCACCTGTTTTGCATCAACAGACACCACTCTGCTGCAACAAGGATTAGAACTATTGGCAACTGATGGATTGACATTTTACCTTTTGATAGGTAAAATATGTTTACGTTGATTTGTTCTAATACGTCCGCTGAAGACACTATCGACTTCATTTTCATCAGCATCGGCATCGTTGCAGAGTATGATTGAATGACTTCAAAGAAAATGAAGGAATCAGAAGCCAATAACATTTAAAGGAGAGACAGAGCAGACCAGAAATGAGCCTTTTCGTATAACCATCCGTTTGCCAATTCAATACACGCCTTCCTACTGTACTTCTAAAGCACTGTCTTGCACATGGAAAGGGGTTCGGAACCTTTCATGTTAAGCCATCCATCCAACACAGTGACTATAATCTAAGCGACTGTCAGGATTTAACTATTTAAGACGTGTCGTAAAGTAACAAATACGTTACGTTTCCCGTGTAATTTCACCAGATGTAGGCTTCGTCCAATCGAGCTTTCACTTTAGAACAGCTCCATCAACTGCTGGGCCACATCTGCATTTTTGCGTGAAAGCAAAACAAACCACGTCAAAACTTGGTTCATTCTTTTTTACAGACAAACATTAAGAACAAGCTCATGTATTACGAGTAAAACAAAGAAGTATACCCGTGAAATACCTTACTTAGACCAAACCTTGCAAAAACCTAACCCAATTACAGACTATATTCATATGATGCAATATCCATTATTGTTCTAAAATATCTTGTTTTTGGTTTTAACAAATACGGGTAAACAAGTTATTTTCATATACTTTTTGGTAGCTTATTTTCATGGTCGATAGGTCTATTTTAAGAGTTAGATTTGTTATCTACTGAACCAAGACTTGTAAATTGTTATTGTTATTTTCAACTACAAAATAATCTTTAACTCTGTTCAAAACTTTTAGAACAGCTTTGAATGGTAAAACTTTTTTTTTTTTTTTTTTTTTTTTTTTTTT